TGAAAACACTGATAACTCTTAGATCTATAAGTATTTGATAATTGCTAAGTTGCGAGTTGAAAAAATAAGCTCACAAACTTTAGAGATTTAGGTATATAGATTGAAAGAAGTGGAAAATAAGTTAAATGTAAGTGTAAAACCCCTTTTACGTAGGACAAACATGGAAGTGTTGGACAAAAAATTAGAAATGCCCAGTGGAAATGGGTTGTTAATATTCCCCCTTTGGCTGTTAGAACTGCTTCAGCTCTTTATTGTAGGGCATCTCCAAGTTTGTGAAAGGTATGCTAAGGACTTATGTTTCATTCCTTGAAGACATAAATTGGCAGGGAAGACTTGGTCACTCGTGATGATAATCAATGGGATTATCACCATGTCCTGTGAATAACCTTTGATACAGTTCCTGTTGTAAAGTCAAGTAGTTGTACAAGTTGGGTCACTAAAACACCTGTTAATCTGGATCTTACAATCTATCCTCTTGGAAAGTCACTTTGTTGATACATGCATTTTAACTAATCTGAAATAGAGCTTACATATGTTTATATAATACAGATCACTTATCTAAGAGGTCATTAAAATAACTGAATATACAGTCCATTTAACCCTATCAGCCCAGGTACCCTTTACTGCACATGACAAGGTTTTAGTGTCTTACATTTAAAATTTTATTAAACTACTTTTTGTTTATATTATACCAATTAGAATAGCATAAAATCTTAGCTCATGCACATCCAGACTTCTGGTAAAAGAGGAGGGCCCACCTTGAGCACATACAACAGTACAAATCACTATTTCACTATGGTTATAAAGTGAATCTATTAACCCCACAAGTGTTAAGGCAAAGGAGGATCTGAATCATTTCCTCAAATGTTTAATGAAATTAATTGACTCAGTGACATGAATTTAGACAGTTCAGTGCTTAAAGCCCCAGAACACTTAAAATGAGAAGCAACTCAATAGCTGGGCATGCTCATTACTGAATTATGCTGAAGATTTAACTAATAAAGCAAAGAACTAGTTCAAGGTTCAAAGGCACAGGTGGCTACCAGAACTTGTTCACTTACATGGGTGATATGAGTAGATTGCACAGAAGGGCTTTCCCAATTAAGTAACCCACAGACCATAAGGAAACATCACCATAAAGTTTGTGAACTAACTGTTATGCCAACCCATGCAGAGCAACATATGGGTCTTAGCAACACGTAATCTTTAACTCAGACTGTTTCTGTGGTGGAAGTAGCTTAAGAGATCACCTCAAACCAAACACTGGAGCTGAAGAGGAAGTGGCTGGTGAAAGCTATTGTACATGATTCTCATATAATTAAATTTCAAAGTTCTAAGTAAACATCAATTGATGGATCCACTGGCACAAAATCATTGACTCAGACAAATTTTGGAAAACAAGAAAAATAAAGAAATCTTTCTACATCAACCCAATAAAACCTTCATTAAATAGACTTGGGACTAGAAACCAGCAACTTATGGCTCACATTGATTGAATTCACACTTAGTGACTCCACCAATCATAGCGCATCCACCTCAATCCATCTGATACTATACAAGGTCTGCAGTAGCTTGTACAAACTGACCTGAAGATAAAAATGACATTTGAGCTGCATAGGTAAATTGTATAGTCACCAATATATTTCTACAAGTGTTTCTCTAGTAGGCAGTTGCTGTCCATTTCACAGTCTACTTAGCATTTTTCTTTATAAGTTCTTTAACATATGGGGGTAAAAAAAATTCTCCACTATTACAAGAAATATCTCAGCCTCACATGATGTAAATTCCACTAGATGCAGATAAAACGTTTGAAAACAGAAGTAAAAATGGTTCTTTACCTTACTTGTGAGTGTTACAAGTTAACTCTCTCAACATGGGCTCAGTCAATTTGATGACTATGTAACCTCTTTGTACTTGTTTAAAAGTCTTTAAAGATTTAATAGATTTAACCCTTTCCAGATGGGTCTCGGTTGAAAGGCCATGTCATCGTGTTTGTTGATTCGCATTCAAAATTTTATTGAATTAATACTTCATGAATTTATGTCAATAAGTTTGGTATTAAACTGTAGATTATAATTCAAATTTTAGTATTACACCACACTCAATTTCTTAATTTAAAAGTAAAAAAATATTAAAAAACACAGTTGAACATCGATTTTTGTGTGTCACATGGTATGTTGAATGCAACACTGGTTCAAATTAGATGTTTGTGATGTCAAAATACTAAGTCTACAGTTTCGTACAAATCAGGAACTCAAATTACTGATATTGACAAGCTAGAATAAGAGCCTCTTATCTTTTCAATTTGCTAAAATAAATCAAATACAGTAGCACCCCGCCCACCTCTTTCCATTTTTGGAAATGCTCCCTTACATACACTTCCTTCTAGAAATCACATGAATAACCAATCGAAAGCTGAGAATGTCCCCCTAGTGGCTTTCTCAGCCATTTTCACATCCTTGAACAACATCTCTTTCTTTCAAACCAAGATTTCAAGGAGGTAGTTTGTGTCTTTAGTCTGCTCAAAATTTCATATTTTTCAGACTGAAATACAGATTAGTTACTAAGCTTGATAAATTATAGTGGAATTCTGTGGTATTGATATAGTAATGTATGATTTTTTGGTAATTCAACTGTATATATAAAAAAAAATATTTTGTTTCATATCCTCCACATGCAAAATTTTAAAAGGGTTAACAACGTACGTCAAGCAGAAACCTAGTACAAAGGTCGTAACCAGAAGAGAGAATTGTTTGCTTTACTTCTTTATTTACTGTTCTATGTTTTAAGAAAAATAAGTTTAAGAATTTATTTCTAAATAGCAATAATCTATATACATATATAATGTATAATAATTGAAATGTGACTGTATTTTACAAAATACTAATCTACTAAAACACAGCCAAAATAAGTTACTTTATAGAGACCAAAGGTCAGTTTTATATTATTGATACATTAACATGAATGCACGTGCACCTCGTCATTGTAACTCCTGTATTTTTAGGCCGGCATGGCTGAAAGTTCAATATAATAAAAATAATAAGTATATATAAATGTATATGGTTATGAGATTTGAGCTATTTAGTCCAAACATTTATGTTTTCGTGTTATAATTTGTAGTCATTCTAAAACAAAAAAGGTATAACTTATATTTATTTCCTAATTCTTTTAATGTGGTTACAAGATCGGTCAAATGGACCAAACCCATACAGAAATTCTTTACTGAAAATAACAGATAAAATATAAAG